AATGAAAGGCAGAGGCCCTCTTTTTAACTTTTAGTGAGCCTTCCTGGGAACTGAGGACTTCCTGGGAGCAGAGGGTTGTGCTTTTTTTTTTTTCTTCCAGTTTGAGAGTATTGAATAAAAGGCTGGTTTTAACTGGAATCCTGAGGACCTTGTGTGTGTGAGCTTAGGGACAGGGAATTCCCTCAGAGGGGCCCCAACTTCCAACCAGTCTTACCGGTCAGACAGCCCCTGCCCACCTGCTCTGGCGGGCATCTGGCTTGCCAGCCCAGCTGGGGACTTAAGGCTCCATCCCTGGCCTCTGGGGACTGAATTCCATCCGGGTGGCATTCATTGGCTGCTGTGGCGGGAGAGGCTGGGGGGAGGGGAACGCAGAGCTTCTAAGGGGCTTTGGTCTGGACAATGAGTCCCACACCCCCCTCCCAGAAAGGCTGGGCAAGGCATCCCCCTGTCATTCTAAAGCTGCTGCCTCAGGTCCTAGGAATCACTGAATTTCTGTTGGGGGTGGGGTGGGTGGGGTGGGGTTAGCTAGATCAGAGGGAAACATTTGCTTCCCCTCCCCCCAGGGGGGGAAATGATTGAGATGCTTGGGCCCTCGGAGCCAAAGCTTGGTGGTGACTTTGTCTTTGTCTTACTGGGGTGGGGTGGAGTCCTCCCTAGGAGTGGGGGGGGGGAGGAAGACTGGCCAAGTTTGACCCATCTCTTTTGATGTCTTGTTTTTAAAGTCTGTTGATCTCTTTTTCAGGCCTGATCACTTGAACGGACATATCAAGCAGGTGCATACTTCTGAGCGACCTCACAAGTGTCAGGTAGGAACCGGGCAGGGTGTAGTTGGGTGGAAGAATGTTGCTGTTCTCCCAGCCTTGGTCATGAGCAAGCTGCTGCACTGGGCCAGCTGACTGACCACTGCTTTCCACACGCCTCCCACTCTGTCTCTCCCATGTCCTCCCTCGTCCTTTGTTCTATACCCCAGCCCCCTCTGCTTCCCCCAGGGCTGAGATCCTCTTTCTTGGTTCCTTGGTTCTGGTTTCCAGTCTTTGCCTCCATTCTGTTGCTTAGCTTTCCTGTCCTGGCCTTTGCCAGCTCCTTGGCTGGTGGGCCACACTGCACAAGTGTTGTCTTGGTGGGTCTGACACCTTGCTGGGCCTGGCTGCTGGTTCCCAGCACTGTCCGAACTGTAGGGATTTCAAAAGGGCTTCTGGTGGCCCAGCCAACAACCCTTCCCCTGGTTTGAGCTGAGTGGGAACTTGGGTTCCATCAGTGGAGAAAGCATGGCATTAGGCGAGGCTGGAGGTAGGTAGAGGGTGATCCCATCTCCAACGCCAACATCAAGAGCAAGGCAAGGCATTCTCTTCCAATGTGGAATCATGTAAGGAAGCCTGGACTGGATTTTCTCCTGTCTGCTTGAATTCTATCTGGGGGCTCTGCTGGCACCTAGAAGATGAGTTTTCTTTCCTGGCCTCTGAGCATTTCTGTGTGATGAAAAATAACACCACTGTCTTCTTGGTTATCTCCCTCTGCTATGGCAAGTGCCTTCAACTGATTTCAAGACCTGTTGACAAGGGCAGATTCCAGGAGATCAGAGGAAGGAATGGATGTGCACAGTAGGACAGAGCCCCAGGGATAGGAGTAAACATTGCTCACAGATGAATGGCTAGGTAGCCTCTCGCAAGGATGCTGGTTCAAGACAGGCCTGCTGGGATCTGTCTTTGCCTTGCTGCTTCCCGCCTCTCCATCTCTGGCTCTGTTGTCACAGAGCACAGTCTGACTCCCAGGTAGCGTGCTGAGCAGCCCCCAGGCAGGACAGGAGGAGCCCAGAGGGCAGTGGGGGTGTGCCCGGTGGCCTGGGGGGGTAACCTGCACTCTCTGCCCTTTTTCCAGGTGTGGGTTGGGAGCAGCAGCGGCCTGCCGCCCCTGGAACCTCTTCCTAGTGACCTGCCATCATGGGACTTTGCCCAGCCTGCTTTGTGGAGGTCGTCCCATTCAGTTCCTGATACCGCCTTTTCCCTCTCTCTAAAAAAGTCCTTCCCAGCCATTGAAAACCTGAGCCCAGCACACTCCAGCAATGCTCTCTTCTGCACAGCCCCACCAGGATACCTGAGGCAGGGTTGGACAACTCCAGAGGGCAGCCGGGCCTTTACTCAGTGGCCTGTAGGCTAGCCTGGGTCCTTCTGGAGAGGTGGAGGAGAGTGGTGGCTTGCTGGAGACCCTTGCTTTTGGGAGAGGTCAGCAAGATGGTTCCTGCCCACCATTCCAGATCTTCCCAAGATGTCCTAAAGTATTCCCCAGCTTGAAACTCTCAAATAGTGATAGCAAGGAGCACCTTTCTAAGTGCCCCCTTTTCTAAGTGTCCCCAAAGCCTCTGAGTTTCTTTCTGAACACTCGTCTCTCCTCCCCTACCTCAAAAGGTGACGCCCGGGCACGCAACATTGGCTGGCTGACTCTGGAGCTCAGCCCCAGCCTATGTGCTTCCCTTCCCCTGGCCTCACTTTCTTCTGATTGGGGTTTCTGGCCACCCTCCTCCCCCCGGGAGTCACTCCCGCTCCGGAGAAGCCTCTGGCCCGGCTTCAGCGGGGTCATTGTGCTGTACTCTTCCTCCTCACAAGGTCCTGCTTTCATTTCCGCCCAGTGACTTACGCTCATGTCTGAGGTTTTTTTAGCTCGTCTGCTCAGAACTCAACTAACCAGTAGCTTTGTATTGTGATACATGGCTGTAGGGGCTGACAGCAGACAGACACTCCCTCCCCCAGGTCCCTCTGGTGTGTCCCTTAGCCCTGCAGACTCTGCTGGGAGATCAGGAGTGATGATAAAAGTTTTCATTCTAACATTTGAGGCTTTGTGTGTTTTGTCCTTGGTCTGTCATAACAACTGGCATCATTGTCCCTTGGTGTACGGGCCAGCTCCTGTCATGCCTCTGCCCTTAAGCACACACTCACAGACCTGACCCTGTAGCCAGAACTTTCTAAAGAGGACCCAGCAAGGTATGATGTGCTAGCCGCCACACTCTAGGGTTGGTTAAACTTCAGGGACTGCCTCAGCCACAGAGGATAAAAGGGGCCATTTACTCAGACTGATAAAAAAAAAAGCCTTTTGAAGGTAAGGGGCAGGGAGCCTCAGGCTTGAGTCTCCTTAACTGGTTCACATGCCCCAGCCATTGTCCTGGCCTGGAATTCAGCCAGAGCTGAGAGACTGGAGTGTCTTAGCCCTCTCCCATTGCTTCTGGTGACCCCGTATCTGAGGCTGGTCAGATAACGATGAGTGGGGGGGTGGAGGGGTACACTCAAAACAAAGCAGCTAAGGCCAGTGGAACTGGACTTTCATGTGTTACTCTTAGATTTTTCCTGGCTTCTCAAGATGCCCCCTATGGCTTCCAGACTGCTAAGGCCTCCTAGGGTTAGGGGTGTGCATTAGTGTTCTTGGGGTCCTATCCTCCTGCTGCCCCACTCGGGACTGAAAGTTTTAGAAAGTGTGGTGGGGTAAGCATTAAGCATGGTAGGCTCCGTGGCAGGTGGTGATGGTATGCCTCCTGATCGCAGCAGACTGTGAGCCTTGGCTGTGGGCACAGGAGGCACTTCAAGCCAGTAGGCAGTCATACTGTGCTGCTGACTGGCTCCTTTCAGGGCCCTTCTGTTGACTCCCCGTCTGCAGGATGGGGAGTTCTTTCTTCTGAGTCTCAGGTTCTGGGTGTCCCCTTTAAGGTCAGTCTCCCTCAGCCCATTCTCTGCTCTCCTGAGTCACGTGACCAGCCTCTTTTGTGCTCTGTGCTGTCTGAAGTTCTGGTTGGCCCAGACTGGGACTCACACACAGAAAAGCCTGGGGACTCCAGCCACAGAGGGTCAATTGAACAGGGAAGCCAACAGCTACTTTAGTTTGGCTTTATAACAAGGTGATAGCTTCGGCTGTGTCTTTATCCCAGCTGGAGATTGGCATTCCTAATGTTTGCTTGGAGTGAAGTTAGCCTTATTCCTTGAGAGAGAATCAGTGAAGGATGGGGTAGGGAAGCCAGCTGCATCTGCGATTTTAATTTTGCTTAGTTAATCCCCAAATATTTAATCCACTAGGGGATAATCTAGGGTTGGCTGTCCATTATCTTGGGTACCAAAGTATGACCGAGCAAAGCCTTTAAAGGAGAGATTACACATGGTTGTCAAGAGAGACAAGGTATCTTTCCTGCCTCAGGCTTCCTCTCCCTAGAAAAAGGAAGACAATCCTGAATACTTTCATCTGGTTCATGGTAGCTCCTTTGAGTTCTGAGGCTTAAAACTTTCTCGGTATTTGAGGTGGCACACACCTTTAATCCCAGTGCTTGGGAGGGAGACAGGTGGATCTCTGTGTTCGAGACCAGCCTGGTCTACAGAATTATACGACAGCCAGGGCTACATGGTGAGGCCTTGTTTGAAAAAACAAACCCAAGCACCCCCACTCTTACAGCTGCAGGGGATCTTTAACAGAGCTAGCTCTTGTCCCTGGATGATGAATATGTTTACCCCTCTCCCCCAGAGGTATGGGGTTTACAGGTCGCTAGGCTGGGTGGAAGTCTGAATTCCCCTCACTGTGGCCTATCACTGGGTCATGATGATATCCCTAGGTTGGGTCCTCCTGTGACTGAGAGACTGAATATCCAAGATGCTTTCTGGGTTGCCCAGGTGCTGGAGTTTGCCTGCCTATCCTTGCCCCAGGACAGAACTGGAGACCAAGTACATAGGGTCAGTGTCAACACCTTTCTTTCATAGGATGCACATGTATTGGCTTCAGAAGTGGTAAGACTTGAGGCCAGTTCTCAACCTGGCTGTCCTGCATCCTCACAGGGCATCTGTCTGCCCAGCTATGAATTGGTCAAGATAAAAAGACCTCTGGCTGGAAGATGGCTTGGAGACTGGTCTGGTCAGGATGTCTAGATTGCTCCTTTCTCTACTACTTGAGTCTTGGGCAAGGTCACTATCTAATTGTTAGCTTCCTCATTTGTCAAAGAATTAAACAGAAAAACACAAAAGCAAATGTCATAGGGTGACCTGTTTAAGTTAGTACTGTTTACTTGTGACGACAGAGGAACAGGAGGCTTGTGCTGGTGCAGGTGTCTGGGTGGGGTTGAGGAGGGAAATGGTGGCGACTTCTACCTCCACGGCATTGCTATCGGCTTCATGCTTTGACTCTACAGTAAGGAGATACATGTGTCTATGTGGTGACAGTGTTCAGACACTTACCTTGAGATTTCAGGTCCACTTCTAAACAAATAGAGGGAGCTCCATTCTGGCAAGTTAATGGGGTGGCACCTTGCCAGTGGATTAATAACAGCACCCTCAAATGGGAAGCTGCTTTCTCTTACAGTCCTAAAGCAGAGAACACACACAGGGAAAAGAAATTTAAATTCAATTTGACTTTAGCTCCTGAGGCATCTCCATGGAACCAAAATAGCTTGAAAGCCACTGGATCCACCTCTTTTCAAGGCTTTGTGACATTCTGGGATCCCCAAGGCACCTCAGCCTTTGCAGGCCCCGACAGAGGAAGGGAGGTTGGGGAGAGATAATTACTAGGGAACTAGACCCTCATTCGCAGGGTGTGGGTTCTGACCGTTACTTCATAGCTATAGGGCCTGGCTGTGAGGCGTGCTGGGTTGTGCCTTTCAGTGGGTACACACTCCTGGAGTGTGCAGGGGTAACAGCCTGCCTTGCGGGGGCTGCTGTACGATGAACTGCTTAAGACAAACTATCAATGTGAGCTCAGGGCCTGCTCAGCCAATGCTGCAGGCTGCTGTCACTGTCGCTGCCATCACTTCCCCAACATAACATTGCACAAATACTCCTGATGTCTGCAGCCCACTTTCTCCATTCTCCATTAGCAGAACGGACTCTCATTTATTTTATAAGCTGTTTTTTTAATTCACATTACAAGAATATTATGAAGTGTTATCTTTGTAGTTTGTCCTGCCTTTCCATTTCCCTGTGGCCAAGACAATTGTCATATTTGGATGAAACAGATACATTGGATTCTTTGTATAAAGCAGTAAGGGGAAACCCAGGGATGGGGAACAGGAAGACTGGTTCATGTGCTGTAACTCACTTATTATAGCCAGTGCCCCTCAAGTCAGTGCTGTGTGGTTAACAGATGTGGAGGTGTACACCTGTGACCCCAGCACTTTGCAGAAGGGTGAGCAGTTCAAGGTCAAGTTCAGCTTCACAGAGTTTGAGGTTAGCCTGAGTTGCATGAGACCCTGTCTCAAAAAACCAAGGGGATGGGGAGAAAAAAAATGAACAAATACTTAATTCTTCACTCCTATAGAGGAGTATAGGACTTAACTGGCCATGTTTTGATCTTGTCTGTGGTAAAGAACTAATAATTCCAACTCACATATCCCATGAAACAGCATTGTGGGAAGGAAGGGCAGCCACTAGGCATTGTGAGTAGAACCTTAGCTGAACCATCCAGCTTTCTAAAAGGGACTGATTTCACAGGATTACCAGAAACGGCTTTGCTTCCTGGTGTACTCGGTCAAGTGTGAGACGTTGGTTGTTTCTCATCCTGCTCTCCTTTCTCTACTCAGACCTGCAATGCCTCTTTTGCTACTCGAGACCGCCTGCGTTCCCACCTGGCCTGTCACGAAGACAAGGTACCCTGCCAGGTGTGTGGGAAGTACCTGCGAGCAGCGTACATGGCAGACCACCTGAAGAAGCACAGTGAGGGGCCCAGCAACTTCTGCAGCATCTGTAACCGAGGTAATCCCCACTGTTTCCTCACTTCAGAGTATGAGCCTGATCTTCTGGGGAGCCCACCCTCCCCACTGAATGAGAAATGCCCTCACCCAGGCTTTGAGCACATCCCTCAGCTAGTCATTTGAAACCTCTTCCTTTCCAAGAGGCTTGGGTGCTTAAAAAGTCCCAAGAGACTTAATGATGGGAACAGAAGGAAAAAGGTGATCCCCAAGCTCGGGGTCAAATACACCTGCCCAAGTGGCAGGAGAGGATGAATTCACAAATATACTAAACGGAGGTTGGCGAGGCGTCATTAGCCTGAATGGGCTATAAAAGAAAGGGCCCTGCTAGCTCACTCACTGGTATTTGAGAGTCAACGGCCAGGGAAGAAGGCTGGATCTAGAGATAAGTGAGAGACAAAGCTTTCTAGCGTAAATCTTTAAAAGCGATTCCAAACCGATTGTGGCCTTGAAGGACAAAGGTGGAAGGGGCTCTGAGCAGGGCAGTGCGCTTGAGGTTGGCTGAGGTTGGCCTGTGTAGTGTCTAGCTGGCAGTAGTGTTGTTTTGGAGGAAGTCCGGCGTGGCCCTGAGGCTCTGCTGGGTAGAGTTGGCTGTTGGAAGTGCTGGAGTTTGTTGCAGACAGTGTCTGTGCTGAAGGAGTTGGGGCGAGCGAGGCTGCTTCTTTGGTCTCCTTCTGTGCTTGCTTTGACCAGATGGGCATGTTGCTCGTTGCTTCCCGGGGCACTCTTGTGTCACCGTTTTATAAGTCTAGTATCTGACTTACCGGGTTGAACATCGAACGAACCAGGAATCAGGATACACAGAGTTTAGTTCCGGCCCCTTGCCATGTAGCTTTGGGCTCTCCTTGCCTTGCTTCTTCTCTTAAAAGTGATTAAGAACCTTCTTCCCCTTTCCATCTCATGAAGTTGCTGTGAGGACCCCGAGAGAAGGTAGCTGGGAGTTCTCTGAATCCACAAGGAGTTGCACCTTTGGGACGCTCCTCCTTACTCTGTAAAATGGTAAAATGGTGTGATGCTGCTTCCTGATAGTCTGGTTTGGACAAGGCACAAGGCTGCTGCAGAGCACTGTCTCTGAGTGTTCCAAAGTTCTGGATGGAGACACTCTGCTGGGTAGAAGTTTTCTTGGAGTCATGGAGCCAGGTGCCTTCCAGAGACTACACACACCCTCACATTTGCCTTGCTGGCCACCTAATATTGATGCCTGTTCCATTGGGAAACCTGCTGTGAATGCTTCAGCTGTTTCTTCATTCCCTCTCAGAGCAAACAGTGGGGTGGTGAGGGCAGGTGTCTTAGAAAGACTCCAGTCTTAGAAAGCTGGGTTTTTTTTTGCCTTGTTTCATCCTAACCTGGCTTTCATAGAGTACCTCCAAAATAACTCTAAACTTGCCAAAATGCACCATCAGCAGGACTTGGTCAGGTTTCCTGTGAAGTAACCAATCCTGGAACTGGCTCAGTGGGCAGAGCTGAGAACTGCTGAAAGTGGTGGAGGACATTAATAATAAAACTGCAAGTCCAGCCCAGGTGACAGAAGAGGGCAAGAACAGGACAGCGGCGACTCGGGGCTCTGAGCAGCCCAGGTGGAGGCAGCAACGGAGTTAGCCCATTAGGATACAGTTTTCCTCAAGAGCTGCAAGAGGACTTCAGCACAGCTACAAGCCATGGGACTAGGGTGTGGAATTCAAGAGAGCAAACCCAGAGCCCACCAAGACGGTGGCCACAGGCTGGAGAGCAGTCTACATGTTCCTCCAGGTCTAGCCCATGCTGGGTACTCAGAAGAGGAAACAGCTGCAGCCATTCTGAGGAGAGGAAAAGCTGGATGCTGCCTCTGGACGGCCAAACAGGGATAGCAGCACACAGATGTCAACGAACAAGAGGGTGGAAGAGGATGAGGGGACTCTCTGTCATCCTTTGCCCTGTGCCACCAAGGCTATCAATTAAATAAGTGAATGTTCGTAGAGCTGGGGTTGTGATTTGGTGGTAGAGCACCTGCCTGCATGCCAAGGCTTTGTGTTCAGTCCCAGGCACTGCAGAATAATCTCAGGTAAGGTTGAATCAGGTGAACTTACAGGTATCTTCTGAAATCTTTCAGTCCAGTAATACTTTGTTACTTTTTTGGAATATTTTGAAATTGTGTGTGTGTGTATGACCATGTGAATGCAGCAGCCCATGGAGTGCATTGGATCCCCTAGAACTGGAGTTATAGGTAGTCATGAGCCATGATGTGGGTTCTAGGAACTAAAATTGGGTGCTGTTACAGAGGAGTGCTTTTAACCACTGAGCCATCTTTCAGCCTTGCCCTGAAGCCCAGGCTGGCCTCAAACTTGCACTATTGCTTGTAATTTTTTGCATTTGAGAGACTGAGGCAAGAGGACAGCTCGAATTCCAAGCCAGCCAATGCTACACAGTGACATCTTATCACAGACAAAGGAGAAGAGCCTTTGTCACAGACAAAGGAGATGGTCTAGTAGCCTACTCCTGTGGCACTTACAAGGCTAAGGCAGGAGTATTCTCATGAACTGAAGGCTAGCCTGGGCTAAATAGCAATTACTAGGCCAGCCAAGACCTTCTATCATAAAACAGAACAAACAACAACCAAAAAATAAACACACAAGGGGGGTTGGGGATTTAGCTCAGTGGTAGAGCGCTTGCCTAGCAAGCACAAGGCCCTGGGTTCGATCCTCAGCTCCAAAACACACACACACACACACACACACACACACACACACACACACACACACACACACACACACACGGGAGGCTGGAGAGATGGCTCAGCAATTAAGAGCATGAGCTGCTCTTTCAGAGGACCCAGGTTCAATTCCCAGCACCCACATGGCAGCTCACAGCTGTCTGTAACTCCTGTTCAGGGGATCCGATGCACTCATACAGACATACCTGCAGGCAAAACACCAATATATAAAAAATAAGAATAAATAAATAAATTTTAAAAAGACACATACAATGGAGGCAAGGTATGGTGGCACACACCTTTGATCCCAGCACTGGGGAGGCAGAGGCAGGCAGATCTCTTGAGTTCAAGGCCAGCCTGGTCTATAAAGTGAGTTCCAAGACAGCCAGGGCTGCACAGAGAAACCCTGTCTCGAAAAACAAACAAAACCAAGCAAGCACACACAAGGGAAACTTCTTCCTGTCAGATGAACACGTGGGTAACAAGGTAGCACCATGCCATTCTCCTGCACTGGCAGTCTTAATGCACCGTTAGATTTGGCCCCTCCAGGGTTTGGACACAGAAAAAGCAGTCCCCAGTCTCTGCACGGACATGAACATGCCTGTGAATTATAGGGACACAAGCAAGAAAGTGCAACTGAAGACGGGCGGCCTTTCGCCACTGACAAACTCCCCGTTTCTGGAGAGGGAGAGACCTGCTGTCAGCAGTCTCAAGTGCAGTTTTCCACCCTGGAGGCCCTACCTCAAGCGGCCTCTTTGGCTCTTGGTTCATCAGTGAGTAGGTGGGTGAGCTTAGAATTTCAGCTAAATACATCTAGCCTCAAAGACACATTCTGCTCAGAAACTCCGCTTTTTCATCTCAACACTTGACTTGCTGAGTTGCTGTGTTTCAGTTCTGGGTTTTAAGTGGCAGCTGTGGATCTGTTCTTGCCA